TTTTTAAAAAATTCAAGAATAAAAGTTTTCAGACAGTCGTTATATTGTCAAAAAAAAAAACATTTTTTTAATTTGTTACCATTGCGACATTATTCTAGATTGATAATATATAATTATTTTTTCTTCAACAAATGAAAGACTGAAATCAGGAGAAGCCAATTTTTTGAGATCCCCTACTTCATCACCTTTATGACTATTTTGAATTTTCTTTTTCTTATATTATCAAAACATGAATTAATAATTTGCAAAAAATATATGTATAGCAAAAATATAGTTTGCGTTTTTTATGGTCTTTCAAAAATTGCATTAAATTCATGTTCCAGACCAGAATACCCCATTGATTTGATACAATTTAACTATGAAAAGTGCTTCATGCTACTTATCATCAAATATAGATGGATTTTAATTGATGTTTTGTTTCAAGAGCACCAATATACTTTAAAAAACCTATGTATGTATTATAGCAAGAATGTAAAAACTATATGATTCTTACTTCTTTCACAACTTGTTCATTTTCTTGAGTATGTGTTGAACATGTTGAATATAAAACTCTTTTAGCTTTGGGAAAAGCAGTCAAAGCTCTCCTTAATATTAGAATTTGAAAACCAGCTAATCTTTCTAATCTCTTATCTTGAATGGTTGGAGCGGCGGTTTCTATGCGACCTAACATACCTAAAACAAACATTATATTATGAAAAACAACATTATTATTTTGATTATACTACTAATAGATTCACTGCTGGGAATATCTATAATAAAATCCTCAAAACATATATCAAATGATATCTATAATAACCCAATGTTATTCCATTTTTATATTATTAACAAACTGTGCTCATTGTTTTATCTAATAGATTGCAGAATAAATTTAATTAGGAACGAAAACATAATGATTTCATTTTACAAAAAAATAATGACTTCATCTTTCAAATCAAATATTCTTAATTCTTTTCACTAACATGATTGTTGTTGAAGTATTATTTTCACTGAAAATGTTTGTTTTTTGTCAAATTAGCTTTTTTTTATCCACTGAGGAAGTCAAATTTGTATATATATATATAACCATAATTACCTGTGCCTGAACAACTAGGGTCAACTAAAATGTATTCAATGTCTGGACATTGCTCATCAGTAATTTTAAGAGCGTCTTCATTTATAGTTTTCACACAAGTTGAATTGGTTGCTTGAACAATATCAGACAGAACACCATGCCTTCGTGTATCTTTTTCAATTGCATAAATTGTTCCCTTATTTCCAACTATCGCTGCTAAATGGGTAGTTTTCATTCCTGGAGCAGCACACATATCTAAGACATTTGAACCAGGTTCAGGTGCTAACATATGTGCAGCCATGCATGAGGCCTAAGAAAATAATATGCATTAATAATCAGTAATAATTACAATATAATAAAATCATCTAATGATGATATGATCTATAATTAAATTAATGCACAAATTAGATAATTCATGGTTATTTTATAATATTACATATTCATTATATAAATATAGAAATAATAATTATATATTTATATAATTATAGAATATATTATATTATTATGATAAGGAATATTTTTAAATCACCTTGTCTTGTAAAACAATGTGTCCTTGTAAATAGCATTGATAATCATGAAATTGTGTATCAGGCGGAAACACAAGCAGTTCGGGTATATGAAAGTCCGGTATGAAATGTTCAGCTGGTAGTTCTAAAACCACTTTTAAAAAATCTCTGTAAGTCCAATCGATGTTATGCCGAATCAAAGTCCATCCTTCGTCCCTAAAGCCATCTATTGCTTCTTGCATCGTCAGAGTCAGAGTATTGACCCTTACATATCTTGGATGATAGAGTTCTGGCAGTTTTTTATCAGTCGATAATGCTGTTAATAAATGACAATGGAAATAGATGTTAAATGTTCAAAACAAAATATTTTTCATTTTTATATTTTGAAATCATTACATGTTTTGTTATAAGAAAATAATTGATATATGTAAAAGTAGTTAATTCAATACATTTGCATTTCAATTCAAATAAAATTCAAGTAAACTCAAAAACTTAAACTTCTAACAATTTAGACTGGTTCATCAATTTTCTATAGTATGGATTTTACATTAATTCAAAATATGTTTTAAAAAAAACAAATATACAACTACTTTTGTATTAGATTGGCAACCAAGTAACTTTGGATTTTTGTTAGAATTTTCATGGAACTAAATAACTTTATTTTGTAACGAATTGCCCATTTTGATCAATAACTTTTTGTCATCTTTCAAGCAGTATCATTATCTTACACTATCAGATTTTCATTAGCCAAAAACTGAATCGGGTACAATATAACACCATAAAATTGTTCACCACTCAAAAGTAAATACAAAATTATCAGAAAGAAATTTGACACAACAACATTTTTATGACTTCATCACCATAAGCAGCTAATAACTTTTTGTGAGTTTAAGATGCCTTTTTTTGGACCTTTGCAGAAATGAAAGAGCAAAATATAATTCATTTTCCAATGCCAAACAAAAACACAATCATCTATGATATCTAATTGCTTACTATCCATCAACGAAAGGTATTTTACATTTGAACTACGTCAGCAAATCTAAAAATTCAATTGAAACCATCTGAGTGTTAACACCGCAATTACTTAGTTGCCAACCTAATCGTTTCACGTTTTATTACAAAAATAATTATATAAAATAAAATGTAATTAAATTAAATTTTCCAGTAGTATCTTTACATATGAGAAACCAAATTATTGAGAAAAAGAAATATATTTCACATGTATACAGAAAACTTTCACACAAACAGAATACTAAATTTAATCAAAACTATAAATTAATTATTCGTCTTTGGGTTTAGGGGGTTCAGGAATAACACTTTGGTCGATTTCTTTTCCTTCTTCATCATACTCTTTTTCATGATATGCTCTATACGCATAGGCTATAATAACTGCATTTGCTGCTATAACGGCTGTTAATACAGAACAAGCCGTATTAGTAAATCCTACAATATGCAAATGCTCTGCTAAATAATGTCTCGTGCCAAAAAATGCAGCAAATGGGAATGTAAACATCAGAACACTGTATATGAATAAATAGAACATAGCCCAAGTAGCTTGTTTGGAATGTGCAGGGGTCCTAAATCTAGGCAATTGCGTGGTCTCATTCTCAGTAGTGCTAGTTTCCATATTGTAACGATCTGCAACAAACAAAAATATATAAATTACCTTCTTTAAGTTGCTCGGGCATTCCAGTTGAAAGATCTCTTAAGACTGCTTGAAATTTTTTGCTGTAGGTTAATATTGTTTTAACGGGCTTAGCGTCCGAGACTAATTTGTCTTTTTTGCCCCATAATAATTCTGTCATAAGCACTCTAGCTAACCAAGGATCTAACCTAGGTTCATTGAACAAAATACTCGTTCTTTGTATCAATATATCCAAAACTCTAGCATGTTTCAACGTCTCAAAAACTAAAGCATTCAAAGTTTTGATATTCTGAAATAAATAAAAAATATATACATACCTGCGTTTTCTAATTTATATACAAACAGAGTCACATGCTCTGACAAAAAGTTAGGTTCGAATGTTTACTACTTACGACGTGGGTTTGCTCGAATAATAATTGTTTGACACCTTTGCCATCTTCTAAGACCTGCTTTATAATTTTGGCAGCAGTTTTGTAAACACGATGAACTTTCACAGAATGTATAAACATTTTGTTATTATTTATTTATCACTAACTTAAAACTATTCAAAAAACGTGCATGAATACACGAAGCTAATTTATGATAATATCACATTTCTTTGTCATACCAACATACGACGCTCAACCGAGAATAAAAAAAGTGTAACAACATTGAAAGACAAAAAACCTATGTGCGTCAAACAAAACTGTCAAACAAAAAAACAAAACTGTCAAACGTCAAAATAGTACACCCATTGTTATATTGTCTCTCACCTCTCACATTTAGACACCTTTTAGACAGTTAAATAGAAATCCCAAATGTAAGTATATAATTATTTACGAAAGCGGTTCTTTTACATTTACATGGTCATACATTGTCTCTTCACAACCAATATTATTTCAGGGAACCAAACATATAGTTATTCAAAACCTAGTACAGTTTTGTTAGAAATTATTAGGAAATTTTTAATTAGGGCTTCGCAGAGTGTTTTAGTGTAGTTATTTTATTTACCCAGGTAAATGTTATTCAGGTTGTTTTTGTTTGCTTAGTGTGTTTTAATTCTATTGTAGGGTTCACTGAATTAAGATTAGGACTTCAGCCTGAACATCAAAATAGCTACAAGAGTCTTGTAGCATGTAACATCTGATTATTAGAACTTAACTCATATGTATGCATGTATATATATATATATATATATATATATATATATATATATATATATTAAATGCTAGCATATGTATAGTAATGTAATAAACTTAAGTTCAGTCCGATATTTTTGCCTATTTTTATCTTTAAGTGATCTGATTACTTTTTCTAACAATGATTAACATAGGTAATAAGGAACACAATTAAAACCATCTATTTATTTCATCAAATATTTTTATTCAAAATATATACACATACTATTTACAATATAAAGCATGTCACAGGAAACATGTAATAAATAATATAGAATAAATATAAATAATATAGAATAAATATAAAAAATATAGAATAAATATAAACATTGAAATTAAACATAAAAAAGAGAAAAAAATTGCATTTTGAAGAAATGATTAGCCAAACCAAAGTTAAACCGAACAATAAATGAAAACTGAATTTTAAAATTTAAATGGAAGTATGGACAGAAACCTTGTTATATAACTTCCACCAACCGAAAAACCGTATTTTTTGTAGAAGTTATTAATAAAACAAAAATGTATTTAGTTTTATAATCATACAAGTCAATTAAAAATTTACCCTTGATATGTTCTTTCAGGTTCTTATCTAACGAAATAAATTTTATATCTTGACTGTGTCCCACATGTGTCTTCCAAAATTCAACATGAACTGTTCCATTGTGATTAATAGTACAACCAATCCTTGATGGGCAAGCATATCCGGTTTTGTTGCTCGTTTTAGTAAACAAGCGTACAGTGGGTTTTTGGTCATTTGTATATGACCTGTGGCAATCGAAATAAATTGTCTTGTCATCAGTTTTTGATTTATATCCTGAATTGCATTTTACATAATGCGAAAACTCTTTCCGCTCTATGTCCGTTTTCCACAATTCAAAATCTACAAAGTCAAAAATGTAGGTAATTGTGTAATTGGGGTTATAAATTATGAGAGAGAAGACTTCAAACCTTTAATGTTTTGAAACACAAACTGTTCATAATCAATTGTAGTTTTGTGATAAAACTCAATATGATCGTATAAACCTGTGTACCTAGAAAAAACAGAGGAGCAGGGAGGGAGTGGACATCTTATTCTGGATTTCCTTGATGGTGTACCTACAAAAATGATTTATATGTAACACAATAATAAATAAAATGAATGTACATATATAAAAGCACTACATACCTGTAAAATTTTCCTTAGTACTGATTGGGGAACAGGGAATGGGAGGCGTGTGAATTTGAACTTTAATAGAGGAAGTGCAAGGATGCGGCAATAAACTTACGTGGGGATGTTTGTGAAGAGGATCTGATGTGGGTGATAGTAAATTGTAAGGTGATGTCAAGCATGTAGTAGTATATGAGGTGGGTAAAGAAGGATGCTTTATATTTGTTTTAGTGGAGGAGGAAAGGTGTGTAATGTCTTCAAAAGATACCGAAGAAGATTGGGCAGGTGAAGGGTTAGGGATATTATTATGAACTTGGCTCACATGACGAGTTAATAAATATTTAAATTTAAAAGTTTTAAGGCAGAAAGCACACGCATTGGGATAAACAGCTCTTGGCTCTTTGTCATGTTTTTGTCTTATGTGGCGATACAAGGAGCTACGAGCTGTGAATGGAATCTGACACTCGGTACAGAAAAAGTCGCTGTCCATGTTGCTACATAAGTAAAGTAATAAAGTGAAATATAAAATAAAAGTAATGAAGGTAATAAAACGTAAAGAAAATTAGAAGCTAAAAAGTAAATGTATAATGAGTAAAATCTAAAAATAAGCTTATAAAATAGAATGTAACCTAATGTAAATGAGCAAAATCTAAAAATAAGCTTATAAAATAGAATGTGACCTAAAGTGAAATAAAAGTAAGTATCTAAATAGTAAAAATATGAAACGAAAAATAAACTTACGCAAGCTAAGTAAAAATCTAAAAAAACACGTAACTAAACTAAAGAGAAACTTACGCAATCTAAGTAAAAAATCCTAAAAAACACTTATTGTAACTATGAAATATGAAAAATAAGCATGAATTATAATAAGAAGCTTACTAATAGAGCAAAAAAGCAACGCAAGGAAAGCGATCCAGAGCAAAAAAACGAAAAACCGAACCGAAATATGTGAAAAAAACTGTTATAAACAGAATTAGAAATAGCAACAGAACGAAAGAATTCTAATTACACGAAAAGAAAAAGCAGAAAATATAATAAAACGCTTACTTGAAACGAAACCGACGCGACGCTATACCATCACAAAAATGAGAAAAGAACGCGGGACTAAATATTCCACGAAATGACAGGTTATGCCATACATAAAAGAAGAGTTATGCTCTATCCCGGAGCCAACTTCAGAGCGTAGGTGCTTTTTAAACGTCAAAACCCATCTGTCACGTATCAGAATTTAGTGGCTCCTGTGCATGAATAGATTATAATCAGCGCCAACTTCAGGACATTGTATGTCAAACTAGACTTGTTTGACACTAGCTTTGGCGGGCGATTCAAATTTCATACACATAAATAAATATGAATTTATTATATTATAATAGTATATTATTGACATTAAACAGCGATAAGAAATAATTAATTAGTAACTATTAAAAAATAATTTCTTAGATCGTGAATAAATATGACACTAAACATACACTAAAGATTTATACTAGATCTTGTTGGCAAATATATATAAACAAGTATAAAAGTAAAAATCAAGTATAAATATAATCATAGATAAAAGAAGAGTATAATTTGAATACAATATAATATAGTATAGTATAATATAATATAATATAATATAATATAATATATGAATATATTATATTTTATTATTTTCCATTATGATGGCAACTATAAAGGGCTCAATTGAAAATTAAAAAGATTTGATAGCTGTTTTTTAACGAATAAATATAAGTTTACTTAATAAATTTAGGACATAGTATGTTTTCTATGTAAGAGATTTGGCGGTCGATTCAAATTTCATATACATACATAAATATATTTATATGTATAATGTATAAAGTATAATATATATTTATATAATATATAAATATGTTACAGTTGTTCTTAGTTAAGATTAATCAGCAATAGCAAATAATAAATTAGTAACTATAAGAAAAAATAATTTCTCAGATCGTAAAAAGGATTGTAAGGATTTATACTAGACCTTGATGGTAAGAATCTACTATAAAAATAATATAATAAAATATAATACATTCTATTTTTGTCCATGCTAAAATTATTTGATAACTGATAACAAATGATATTAATTTACTTAATACATGTTGTGATAATTCTACTTTGAATTAATAACCAAAAATTCTTTTAATTGCTAAAAGAATACAGAAGAAATGTGATGTGAATGACAAGGAAAATATAAATATTTATTAAGTAAATTAAATATTATTATATTATTTATTAAAATAAAACTTAAATAATACAAAGGATATTTTAGAATATGAGAGTCATATTCATATTCGTATATTACTTAAAAAGTAATTAATATTAACAGATTCGCATATTTTAATTTTAAATGTAATAAACTGAATAAAAAATGTATCTACCCTACATGTGATAATTATGCCAAATTTAATTTTATTTAAATGTAATAATATGGATAATATATTCAATTATTCATACAATAGCAATGAGTATTATTAGGTATCTTTTCTGTTAATAATATTACCAATTTTTTAACAATACATATTAATACTAAATAATTTTATACTAAATTACATACAGTTTGAAAAACACCTATTTACTTAATAATTTCTTAGAGTTTAGTTTGAAGAAGATAATACAGATGTTTTAGTCAAAGGTTAATCTTGGTTTTAAGTCATATTCTAAATATTTTTCAATAGTGTAAAAACCAAATTACTTAAACATGTTAAGTAATTTATAAAAAAAATATTTTCCAATTTCCTAATACCTGATTGCAATTTGTTAAAAAGCAATAATCTATTGAATTAGGTTAGTTAAAGTAAAAAAAAATGAACAAGTTATGAAGAATATTCATAAAATTTAAATAAAACCATTATTACTTTTGATGTTGTATTTTTAGGTTATTTGGTCTTTCATATTTTCGTATTTTTTATAATACTAAACCCACATTTAAAGTTTAAATTAAACTTTTCATGACAATGTTTCCTGACCATGTTATCTCTTGTCAAATGGCGGTGGGTAAGGTGGTAAAGATGGTAAAAATTTGAAGGCAATTCCAGCCGTTGTTGGAGGGTCGCATGGGTCTACATTTATCAAATAATAATGAGCATTGTAGACATCTTCTATGCCCACATTTAGGGGTCTTGAAGTGGGTCGGTATTCCACTACCGGAATGTGAGTTATTAATGGCAACTTGGATGGGTCGTACACATCTGTACAGCGTTCTCTGAAAATAGATATTTGAAATAAATTATTAAATTTGAAGTAGCGTCGTAAATATTCGGTTTAAATAAAATTTATACAATGTTTCATCTATATATGTACAACAATGATTTAATTCACATTTTGTTTTTTTTTAAATATTTACGAAGGAAATGAAAATATTTTACTTAACTTCTAAAAAGGCATTTAAATTACCATCGAGCCATTGTTCAAAACTTTTTTAAAAAAGTCATTATATACTTCAAAGTCTACTAGCTGTACAAATAAAAATTTCGCAAATATAGGAATATTTCAAAACTCCTTAAATTTCAGTTATCAATAAATTATTTAAAAATTTTCTAGTCTTTTAGTAATTTTAATTTTGAAATAGTGGTGCATAGCATCGTGCCTTAAAGCAAATTGCTGGAACTAGAGCTGAATTTTGATTATTTTTGAAAACTGGTTTAAAACTGTTTTTTTCTCGGATGTCTGAAATTGCTGGACCTGCCTTCCTAAAAATTTAATCATTACTTTACTCCGCTAATACAAACGAAATACATTGTGAATCATTCAAATTGGACTCTTAAAAACTGAATTGCTATTTTATGCACTTCTGCCCCGTATCTCCGAAATGGCTAGACCTGTCTGCGCTGATACTAATCACCACGTCTCCCCATCAATACTAATTGAATGTCTTTGGAATCATCAAAATCATGCACGCACACATCCATGCACACATATATACAACAATTTTTTTAAGGTTTGCCAAAATTTTCAGGTACCTTGGAAACGTAAAGATATGCAAAAAGTTTTCTTTTCGATTTTTTTGCGATTATGTACTATAATTAACTACATGGGAAGTTAAAAATTAAATGTTTTATTTGAGATTTTAATAACATTAAAATAATTAAAACGTCTCGATAATTTCTAATATATTTAAATACAAAATTTCAAAATATTAAAATCGAACTTGGACTCATTCACAATTTCAGAACTTCTTTGAATTTTGAATTTTTCCAAAATCTAAAATATCTAAGTCCTTTATTTTAATGTTTCTAGAAAAAATCACTTATTTCTCAATCAGTTTCACAAAGTCTATTATATTACAATTCTAGCCATACAAATTTTGCTCATATTGAAATATTTCATAACTTTTTCATAAAGTTAAATTGTTAATATTTAAAAATCTCCAAGAATTTCACTAATTTTAACGTTGATACATACATTACCATACTTTAGAAATGTCGTTAATTTCGAATATTTTTAAGATACAACTTTTTTTTTCTAAATTTTTTTTTCTATGGCAATCAGAACACAGTATAATTCTATGAGCTATTTGGGCTTATATCATTCACTTACACACAATTATTATGATAAATATTATATCCATAGTTGGAGAATCACTCCAATGGGTGAATATGTCACCAATACAGTTCATATGCGCAATATTTTTCAAATTTTCAAAGTTCAATGTTCATAATATTTTTAACAAAGTGTTCGTCGTTTTGATTTTTTCAAATTTCAAAGTTCAGTTCAGTTTCATTGTCAGCCGTAAAGGAACATTGTATACTAAATGGGCATATTGGAAAAACAACTCAATAGTTGTTTTCCCATTCGTTATAATATTAACAATATTTTATTGATAATGATATAATCTTAACTATTCACTTATAAATAATGACTAAGTTATTTCAATCTTTACTAAGAAAATTGATGACTTAAATCCAGTGGAGCTTTTCTTTTCAAACTTTGTCGATAGTTCTCTGTTATTAATGAAAATTTGTTTATTGAAAATTGTAAAAGAATTATTCCAAAAGTCACTTGTATTCACATTCAAAGTTCAATGTTCATAATATTTTTAACAAAGTGTTCGTCGTTTTTTTTTTCAAATTTCAAAGTTCAATGTCCATTATATTTTTAACAAAGTTTTTGTCGTTTTAATTTTTTCAAATTTCAAAGTTTAATATCCATTATATTTTTAACAAAGTTTTCGTGGTTTTAATTTTTTCAAATTTGCAAAGTGCATGTAGTGCTAAAGGTCGTGAATTTCAGTATATTGAAATCGAACTTAAGGTTCATTTACAACTTCAGAATTTTTTGAATTTTGAACATTTTCAAAATTTATAAAATGTCAAAAAATCCATGATTTTTGAATTTCTGGAAAACTATCTGATTTTAAAGTCTATTAGTCTAATGCCGCACATTTATAGTAACTTCATAAACTGCATATAATTATTATTTATATTTATACTCATATTAAATTTTAATAACTATATGATTGTTCATGACTTACCCGCAGTTATTCGACGCATAATGATAATGTTTTCCGCAAGGTGCCAAAACCAAACGCGGCCGTCGCGCTTTTCTCTT